GGGAGAGAGAGAGAGAAACGGGAGGGGGGGAGAGAGAGAGAGAAGCAGCGACTCAGAGTGTAAATAAAAGGGAACAGGGCGAGAGCACAAACAGGAATAAGATTCAATACCTTGATGCTGATACTGTTTCAAAACCTCAAATCAATTCATAAAGGTGGTCAGAGGCTCAGAGAGGAAATACAAAATCACTACAATTCACCTGCCTGCATCGCATTAAATCACACCAAACGCACTCTGTCAAATTACTCTCTATAGCACCAATCCAGAAACATACACATGTAAACAATATTTAGCTGACACTAAGTAATCCACATTAAAGTCAGACTGGGCAGAGACTGTTCGATGAAGGAAATGACTACACCTTATTTCCGATTGCCTTTCGGAAGCCCTGAGAGGGAGGGTAACAGAGGAGATTGATAGGAATGGATGAGGGGGGCGGTTCAGAAGCTGCACAAAGCTGAGCTGCTCTGGGAGATAGGGGGAAGCCTAAGCACTATCAAGGACCAGTCGGGCTGAATATCATTTGCAGAGATTCGCTTTTGGGAAGTAACAGTACTTTGAGGAACCGTCAGGGAGCAAACAGGATCAGAGCTTTTGATTTATTTTTTCCACGGGAGGAGGCGAGACCCACATTTGCAGGTCTGTCCTGAAACGAGGTGACTGGCCAGTTTGTATAAGAACGTAGCAAACAGCTGAAGCAGGCTATTCAGGTCCCTTGAGCCTGCTCCACCACTCAGTAAGATCATGGCTGATCCATTTCAATCCCACATTCCCACCTCCCTTCCGATAACCCTCAACTCCCCTGCCTAAAAAATAAATCAGCCCCTCCCTTGTCTCAAATAGATTCAATGACCCCTACTCCCAGTCCACTGCCTTGTGAGGCAAGGCATTCCAAAAGGTACATAAAACCTCTTAGGAAGGAAATTCTCATCACGTGACAGTAAAGCAGAGCTTCTTAGTTCTGGACTGGCCCCCCAGAAAGAAAGAACCTTTCCACATCCACCTTGTCAATTCTGGATCTATAATCTATCCCCCCGCAACACCGCTCCCCCCCACCCCCATCTATACTCCAGGGGAAACAAAGCCGAGTCTGTCCAATCTTTCCCCCATACAGTAACCCACTTATTCCAGGTATCAACGAACCACCTCCAAGGTATTTAAATTTTTCCTTTAATTAAATGAGGAGGGAGAGATGACACACAGCATTTGAGATGTGCCCTCACCAATGTCCTGTATAACTAAAGCATAACTTCCTTACTTCAGGGTTGGATTCCCCTCGCAATTACAGACAGCACTGCACTAGCCTTCCTGAACACTTCCTTGACCCAAAAAACAACCCTTTGTGACTCATGCACTAGAACACCCAGATCCCACTGCACCTTGGAATGTGGGGACAGCCATTGTATTTATGTTAACACTCTGCTTTCTCATTCCTCCTGCCAAAATGGACAACCTCAACTTCTTCCCTTCTGCCAGATATTCACGTCTTCCCTCAACCTACCAATGTCCATCTGCAACCTCCTTGTTTCTTCTTCACAACAGGCTTCCCTCCCTTCCCTAGTGTCTTCTGGGAATGTGGCTGACATGATTTTGCTCCCCGGACCAAGTCATAGTTATACAGTCCTACAGCACTGAAACAGACCCTTCGGTCCAACCAGTCTGTGCTGACCATTATCCAAAATAAACTAATCTCACCTGCCTGCTCCTGGCCCCTATCCCTCCAAACCTTTCCTATTCATCTACCTATCCAAATGTCTTTTAAACGTTGTAACTGTGCCTGCATCCACCACTTCCTCAGGACGTTCATTCCACACACAAACCACTCTCCGTGTAAAAATGTTGCCCCTCATGTCTTTTTCAAAATCTTTCTCCTCTCACCTTAAAAATATGCCCCTAGTCTTTAAATCCCCCACCCTAGGGAAAAGACACCTGCCATTCACCTTATCTATGCCCCTGATTATTTTATAAACCTCTATAAGGTCACCCCTCAACCTCCTACGCTCCAATGAAAGAAGTCCCAGCCTATCCAGCCTCTCCTTATAACTCAAACCCTCCATACCCGGTAACATACTGGTAAATCTTTTCTGAACTCTCTCTAGTTTCATAATATCCTTCCTATAACTGGGCAACCAGAACAGGACACAGTGCTCCAGAAGAGGCCTCACTGACGTCCTGTACAACCTCAACATGACGTCCTAACCGATACCTCAACAGGCAGGGAATGGAGGGTTATGGAGCACCCAGAGGCAAACTGTTTACGGTTTAAAAAGACACCATGTGTCAGCACAGTTTTGGTGGACCAAAGGGTCTGTTCCTGTGTTATACTGTTCTTTGATTTAGCTCCATTGTAACGCCCCTATCATTCAAACAGCCAAAATCAACTAAGCAAGTCCTAAACACAGGAGTAATTGATTTAAAATGGAGGTGCCCTGGCAGGTCACTGTAGCACACCAGTCAGCAGCCCCGTTGCTGTGGATCTGGAGTCACATGCAGGCCAGACTGGGTAAGTACGGCAGATTTCCTTCCCTAAAGGGGCATTAGTGAACCAGATGGGGTTGTAATGACAAGCGACGATTGTGAAACTGGTATGACCGAGCCTAGGTCTCAATTCCAGGTTTTATTTGGTCAGATTGAAATCCCTCCGGACACAATGATGGGAATTGAAACTGTCTCTCCAGAGCATCAAAGTATCAATGGGAAATTTAAAAAAGAACACAAAGTGCTAGAGAAACTCAGCAGGTCGGGCAGCATCTGTTGGAGAGAGAGCAAGGGATTTAATGCCAAGTGCTGAAGTGTAAACCGAAGGGAGTAATTTTGGATTTGGAACATCAATCCTCTCTGCACTCAGGCTACCTGACCGACTGCGTTTCTCCAGCACCCTCTGTTTATATCCCTAAGGCATGAGGCAGGGTCTTCGGAATGGTCCAAGGCAAAAACCAGGAATTGTGCATGTTGGAAATCTGAGGCAGAAACAGAAGCTGCTGGAGAAACTCAGCAAGATCGGACAGTATCTGAGGGGAGAGACAGAGAGAGTGGGGGGCGGGGGGAGAATGGGGAGACAACAGAAAGGGAACACAGGGCAGTGGGGGGTAGAGGGGGAAGGAGACGGGGGGAGAGACAAAGACAGGGAGGGGAACAGGGGGAGAGACGGAGGGGGCGAGGAGACCGGGGGGGGGG